TAAGAGGTTCAAGTCCTGGACCCGGCAGCTTGAAAAACACGCCAGGCACATGTGCGCCCAACATCTCAAGAGAAGAATGGAGGACAAGGGGTTGTGGTGTGACCATCTCCCCTGGGGACAGAAAGTCAGAGATCACCCCCCACCCCCGCAGGAAGATGGCCACACCGCAACCCCTTCTCCTCCACTCTCTCCTAGGTGGGCATGCACACACATGCACCCAGTGTGAGTGTCAAGCTACCAGGTCCGTCACTCAAACCAGGTCAACCGCATGCTGGGTAGGAGAATGGAGAAGGGGTCGTGGATTGGCCATGTCCCTGGGGGGGTGATTTCTCACTTTCCCTCTCACTGTCTCTCTCTGGTGAACACATACACCCTAAGGCAAAAACCTCCAAAACTAAAAAAATAAAATCAATAATAAAACATCTAGAATTCTTTACACTGCTCCTCCCGGGACTCCCTTTCTCCCATCTCAGACAAGGCAATTCTACTCCTGCTCTGTGGGAGCGTCAATAGCAACTCTAGAGAACACACTTGCAAATATTTATCAAATGTGTTATTACAGGGGACCAGCAGCGGGTGTAATGGCTGTGTCGCTGGACTCCCACGTAGTCAACCATGGTTCGAGTCCTGGACCCGGTGGATTAAAACTCACGCATGTGCATGCATGCCCAAGATCTCGAGAGGAGAACGGAGGAGAAGGGATTGTGGCGTGGCCATGCCCCGGGGGCGATTTCTCACTTTCTGTCTGTCTGTCTCTTGCTGGCTGGTGAGCACACGCCCTATGGCATTATCACCTGCAAATTGGACTTTCTCAACTGCCCCTTTGAAACAGAGAGGGGAAGGTCCAGGCTTCCCCACAGCTGAGAGGTGTGTGACCTGGAGTAAGCCTTCCCCTCGGGCCTGCCTGTTCACCACAGGTCAGAGGTTAAGCCTGAGGGCCTCTCATCATTAAAATACTTTACGGTTCGCTGTGATAGCTAGTTAGGGTTCTATCCGTCCACACATGTAACTTCAGATTTGATCCCTGGGAAACGATCTTTGTGTCATTACTTAGTTGCCAGAGGGTGTGTGGGCGCATCAGAGCGAGGTGAAAGCACCCCTCCATGGGGCCGTCAGTCCCACTCCCTTCCCCATTGTCTCCACCCCCTCGGGATTGAGGCTCCCACGCAGACGTGCCCAGCGCGGTTTTCAAGGCTCCAGGGTAGGATTCAAACCATGCTTGGCTACGTGGGATCCAGTTCCTTAGCCAGAGGCCGCACGGCAAACCTGAGACGAACATCTGGATGGACATGGGGACACCCGGGAACAAGTCCGAGTTCCCCACCTGGCAGTTAGACCGGAAACCGGGAGCAGCCTGGGCGCCCCGCTTGCTGCACGGCCCGCCGCTCGCGTGCTCCCCTCGGGTCATTCCGAAGCTGAGCGAGGCCCACCCTGTGAATGCGCCTGTAATCCGCAGGGCACTGGAGAGTGGTTATTTGGAACTCAGCATACCAACCCTCGGGGAGCTAAGCCGGTGGGGACATACCCTCAGGGAAAGCGGGCTCTGTGCGCGAAGTGCAGCAGCACCCGAGGTGGCGGGGAATGCGGAGGGCTGCAGTGTGGACAGCTCACGAAGACCTTTCCGTCTGTACAAGAAAGTGAAGAAATGCCCCGAACAGAAAGCGGAGAGCGAGGCGGGAGCCGCAGGCAGAGGCGGGAGGAAGGCAGGCGGCGAAGTCCGAGGACGAGCGCTGGAGGGTCGGGCAGGGCGCGGGCAGGGCTCCGGGCAGGGCTCCCGGACTTAAAGGGAGAGGACCTCGCTGGGGATGCCGCCAGTGACCTCGGACGCCCAGGGCGCGGGCCCCGCGAGGAAGGTCGGCCGCCGGGACAGCCGGGACCGCGGAGCGCTGCGCAGCCATGAGCGAGCGGCACTGCAAG